CTGCAAGGTATGACTCCTCGAACAGGTCTTTTCTCTGTTTATTTGTTGGAAGGATATATTTATTTTTTATTTGGCAAGCTTGAAGTACTATTCATAATTATATTTTTACCACAACCTGCAGTAGAACCACTGCTTCTCCAAAGACGGTTTGGTTTATTCTAAATTTTGAATAAAATATTCATTAAATGAATTATTCTTATGAGCCGATGAGAATGTATGATATGTGTTCATGTTTTTTTTTCTTGTACAAACTGAAGGTGCTGCTGAACATGGATGGGTTGTTTTTCAGCCGTGCTGCTCTGTGACTACGTCTTTATCAATGTTTCCTTCCTTTATATTTCTCCCTCCATGTTTTTCAATGAGACGTTACCGTTCATCACATGGCTTTGTGTTTAAAGGAAAGAGAATGTAATGAGAGATTTCCTGATAACCTGAGTCACTGCTGCACTAAAATCCATGTTGATCTCTGGTCTTTTTTTTTTAACCTATAGGTGAAATAAATAGTGATAATAATTATAACAGCGCTCTGAAAACAAACAGTTTGATGTTAAATCTAAAATAGTGAGAGACTTTGTTGCAAATATGGTGAGGGTAACATTTCCACGTCTGAGTATTTTCTTTGTGTGCGGCTGGCTGTCAGCTGGTCCAGTGTGCACCGGGGAACCAGCACGGACTGTCATCTATTTTTGTATTGGAATTGCATGCACCTTGCAGAACCATGGCCAAACTCAGATCCCGTGACAACATCTGAGTGTTCATATCCACAGACAGGTGTGTTCCAATGTCGTGTTTGTTTTCTGTAATTACTGTCATATATTTTCACTTGACATGGATTCCAATATGGCAAATGTATTAAGTACAAGCTTCAGCCTCTGAAGATTAAAGCTCTGTGTATTTATCCCTAAATTGATCTGTTGTGATGACGTCACATCCTGGCGCTGCTGACTGACGGCCTTATTTATTTGTTTGTCCTTCTCCTCTCTCACCCGTCTTACCTTCTGCTGATGTTTACGCCATTGATGAATATAATCCTGCCCTGCCTCGGTTCCTAAGTGTTCTGTGCCAACTCTGGGCTCTGAAGTGAGAGAGAGAGATGTTTCAATCGGTTCCATGTGGCTCTGCTTCCAGTTACAGCAGCCAAGCTTTACCTCACACCACTGCAGAGATATTGTTCTGCAACCAGAAAGGCCTCACTGAGGCTGAAGCTTTTATTCATTCTGATTGTCCAGACTGGGGGACAGTTCTGGACACGTAGTGTCTGAGCCGAGGAGCGTTGTTGTCAATGATACACAGGCTGAAGTGTCCTCATCCTTCACAGGAATACACTCAGGCTGTCAGCTGATATAAGTACAGACCAAGGTGCGGACTTTTTTGGGGGCTAAAGTGCAGAGTTTGCAGTTTGATCGCAGACTTCCTCATTGACCAAAGTTTGGTTCCTGGCCCTAAGTTGTCGTGCGGTGCTTCTGTAGAGCTGAGCTTCACACGACCTCAGGTTACCTCTGGTTTCAATTCCGTGGGGATTTTCCCCGCTCCCTTTGGGTGTTAGATAATTATGACATTTCTTATGTGTGTCAAAGTGCAAACTGTCGCCGAGTCATTGGTTTAGTAATACTTCATGTGTTTTGGATTTAACTGTGTACATGTTTGGACAGAAGGGAAGGGAGTTCTGTCACAGAAATACTTACAGAGATGAGACGATCGTGGTTGGATTGTGTAAATCACCACTTGTGTAGCTTGAATAGTGTGTGTGTGAGTGTGTGTGGTTGAGGCTTGATTGCATTCTTCTTAGCTCTAGAGCAGGAACTAATAAAAATCAATAAGGAAGTCCTGTTGTTTGTAAATATCTTTAATATATTGGTTGGTTTACAAGAAGAGGTCACCTGGGGATATTTATGGCTCAAATGAATTGGTTCATATTAAATTGTAAATTCAAGTTATGGTTTTCAGCATTAGCCAATCCTCGCAGTCACCGGGCGAGGCACTGTACAAGTCCACAAACATAAACAAATATTCTGTCCTAAATGTCCAATTAACCTAACTGCATTTTTTTTGGACTGTGGGAGACAGGCAAAACCATCAGGAATCAAATGGTGATCTATATACTGTAAGGCAAGAGTATTTACCGCCCTTACACTGTGTGACCTATGGTAATTCTCACCGTGATGTTTTTGTCTGTTTTCTTCTTTTCAACAGAAAATAGAGTCAAACAGAAAAGTCCAAACATAACATTATAGTTTAGCAGGTTGAATTGCGAGATTAGGAAATAAAGGAGCATTCATTGAAGTCTGAGTTTTTCAGACCAAGATGGATTATAGTGCACAACTCTGCAATTAACTTCAGGAGGTGCTCCAAGGTCGAGGATCTCAACAACCTCACCTTCCAACTTCTATAATAATGGAGTTTGTGACAAAGGTAGCATACGACTGCTTTGTTTTCTTTTTTGTGGTAGAGGTTCTTTCCACTGTTTCACTGTGAGGGATAGACATGCTTGTACTTTGGCTCCAGTTTATTAATGACACACTATCGGTAGAATCTGAACATGTTTGGTACACTGTGGAGGAATACTGCACTGGAAATAAATGTCAAAATCTGCCATGTTTCTTGCGGTTGACCTTTGATTCTGTCAGCAGTTTGCTCCGTTCACACTCGTGCTCCATCCTGCGTTGACTTTGCCTGACATTCCATTGACTCATCACTCAGATCAGGCCTGGGTTAAACACGGCCACACATATTCCCTTGCTCTTCGATCTCCTTTATGAGATTCTCCTCAAAGGATGCAGTTCAACTTGAATCTTTAATCTGTGTTAAAAGACTGAGGTTCATCGGGTTCTAATCAGGAATTAGCTGTTTGCTGACGGTGCCGTACGGATCTGTCAGTCAGATGAGGTCATTTTAAAAATGCATCAGCGGTTTTGAATGTGAACAAACAAAGCCTGCTCTCAGCTTTTTTTGCTTCTGTGACCGCAGATCTGAAGGTGTTAAATGAGTTTAACAAGGTGTTGATAAAACAGGAATGGGGTTTGTACCCATCACTTCCATATAAGGTATTTCCTGTACCAGGTGGGATACTGTATGGAAGAGGTGAGCTGAGGGTTGTCATGTAAGAATAAACTAGATCTAATCAGTGAACTAACTAACTAACTAACTTTCATTAGTCTACATAACACAAGGCTAATGCTAATCATTGCCAAACATCCAGGTTCATCCTGGGCTCTGGAGTTCTGGGTTCAAACATATACAGTTAGACTGCATAGACTTGTTAAACTGTCCTCAAGTCTTCCCCCAGGTGGAGTAAGAGGGAGGAGCATGCTGCGGCTCGAATTTTGAGGAAAAAGCCTAGAAACTAAAAACCTTCCTGTTCACAGAAGCTTCTCTAGTATGTTTTTATTATGAGGATAACAGAGAGTGGCTGTTCTGAACGCAACAGCTCTACTCTGAGCTGTTGACTTGGCAGACGGCTGGTGAGCCAGTGTGGCATCAACCATAAAAGTGCTCTTCATTTTCCTGTTTTGCCAGTGTCAGCACTCCAGCCTAAGCTTCTTGGTAGATTATCATCGTTACTTTTAATTGGATTAATGTTTCTGATGTTTCCACATCCAGCGCACAGTAAATGTTCTTATATGTGCGTCCCACAGGAGGGTGTTCAGAGTGTTTAGTTTTCACAAGGACTTTTGGTCAGATTTTTTTTTTTTGGCATGTGTTTCAGTGTGACATCAGATTAGGTATCTGTGGAATTATGTCTGTAGGTCACACACTGCAGCAGGGCATTGTGGGAATGCTGATCTAGTGCGTTGCGCAGGATTAGGGTCACCACGAGTAAGAAGCTCAGGCTTCCTTTTATTTCTCGCCGCCTCTTGTACTCATTCTGAAGTTGAATTCTAGAATTTCACGCCGTGTACGGCTGCATTATCATATCCCTGATATTAAATCCCGCTGTTGTTTGTGCAGCCACATGACTCCAGCTTCCACTGTAACAGGATTTTCCTTTCGCTCACTATAAAATATATGTTTCTTATCACAATGCAGTGACCTATTCTCATCATGTGACGCCTTTTTACAAAAATAAAAATAATCCTCCTCCCATGAATGCCATTACTGGTGAACTTTTCTCCCACGATTATGCAGAGAGCCGTGGTTTGGAGGTCAGTTGGTTCATACTCAGCAGGTCCTGCACTCGTCGGCCTGCTCTCCCCTCATTGGCTCTGTCATTCCAGCTGCGATAGTGTCCGTAAACAGAGAGCATTATTCATGTCCCCAGAAGGGGGTAAGTCCCAATTGAAATTCCAGTCCCTTCCATTGAAGCGCAGCTCGGCCACTAACACCCACTGTATTATGTCGGCCCTGTCACCTTGAAAGGTCCATCTGGAGATGGTTCACATTCCTGGGAAGCACAGAACAACCTCTAGGAAAATGGAATAGGGATGTTCAGTTTGCACGCCTGAATGAATTTGTACTAAAGAATTAAAACGGAGAAGAAAACCCAGCAGCTGATCTTTTTTGTTTTTTTCTTTTTTGTTAAGTTTGATGCACAGCCATCCCCTACATGGCCGTCATTAAAAGCCTGAAGTGTCTGTGGTTTCTAGCTGCCAGTGTGGGGTGCATGCTAATGACTTTGTGAATGAATCAGTGCCATTCTGATGGTGGACAAATGAGTACAAGGAACCTCTTTCTGGTTGTTTCACTCTCACAGCGGCCCACTGTCCTGGCCTGTCTACTGTCTGTGAATAACAACTGTACTTACTGACCTTTATTTACAGAAAAACAATCCATAGAAACCAAAACACGAGGCAGAAGCTCCAAGTGAAGAGAGCATTTCATCTCAACAGAAAGTAAACACGGTCATGTCTACTCCAATACAGCAGCATTTTTTGTTTATTATTTGGGATTCACTTTTATGATGCAGTGTTGGTGAGGAGGACATCACTATAAAACTCCTCCATGTCCATTCCTAATATTGTCATGAAAAACACTTTTTTTTTAACATTTTTTATTTTTGTCAGGGATCGAGCTGTGTCTGCCAGGATGGCGCTTCTCCATGACCATGGTGGCCAGTTTCGTGGTTTTGGGGGGTCAGCTGCTGATGCCCGGGGTGGCATATCTCTGTCGTGACTGGCAAGTTCTTCAAGCCATTATCATCTGCCCCCTGGTGCTGATGCTGTCTTATATCTGGTAAGGAAGTTCAATCTTGGAAACTAAAACTACAGTTGACTAATTTTTTTTGATACGTTTCTTTGCTGAAGATATTATTTGGCTTGTGTAGATCACATTTTTCGGAGAGCTGCAGAGAAGTGGAGGATTTCTCCAGCAGAGAATTCCCAGCTTTAATGAACCTTTAATGAACCTCAGACAGCGTACATTCTTGTATTCACCTTCATTTTAATCTATTAAGAGCATTAGACCTCAGTACTGTATAAAGTC